CTTTGCCGCACCGCCTGTCTCCCAGGGATGTGGTACTTAGGGAAGCAGAAGGGAACAGGAGCTTTGTGGGGAAGGTGTGGGCAGAGGCAGCAGCACTGTAAAGCTCGACTACCTGGGGAGCACCTCTACTTTTCCATGGCACCTTCCCTTCCTCCTCTCTAGAGAGCCCAGAGCTTCCCTAAAATCCCCAGGTTCTTTGTTATGGCGCTCTGATGGCAGTGACAATGAGATGGGTGCAGCTTTTCCCAGGTCATTGCTCTAAGTTGAGGACTCACTAGATTTCTGTTTCCTCTTGTTCTGCTGTGTTGGATAAATAGTTGTGGGTGGTCACAGAAGCTTCTTGCCGGAAAACATTACAAAACTCTTCCAAAGAATGAGCCTGTGTCTTTGATGGAGGGTTGGGGCCCACTTCTGAGATTCCCACTGATTCCACGGTTCTGTGAACTTTTCCATCTGGTGCCTTGGCCCAACTCTGTGTGTCTCAGCAGGAGAATGGTAATGGGAAGAATGTCCTTATTAGAGAGGCTGAGCCATCACTGGAATTTTACACCAGAACTGTAAATGCTCACAGTGGAAACAAACCCAGTGGGACGCTGAAAAGTGAAAGCTGACACTGGAAATCACCAATGTCAACAGAGTCACTTTGGGGAAATAGAGTGGTGATGCAGAAGTTTAACAAGGAGAAAGAGCCTTTAGGGCCAAAGCAAGTATCCAGAGGCTGTTTACGTGAGGTTCTGAAAGACTGAGCTCTGAATGTACTCGGGGAAGCCCAAATGTCTGCACTTGTCCCATCACTGGAAATTCCAATGGGAAGGGACTGATGAACGTGCTCAGGAGGGAGACCATGACCTTGTTATTCCTCCTACCAGAAATCTCCTGGGTGCCCATGAGCAAGCTGGGGACAGCTTGGCACCAGAGACAGGCATATGGAAGAGGCAACCACGGAGAATGCATTTCAAGAGGGGCCACTGTTGCACCTGATTATGTGACTTTATCAGGAGTTACCTTTGTCCTGGGGGTTCCAGGGTTTAACATTATAACCATATCACACAGCTTGCTGTAATAACTCAATACCATACTTACAGAGAATTTTGCTGTGAAAGGACGCCAGGAGTTATATGGTCCAAATCTCTCATTTTCAGTTGAGGAAACTGAGGCCCAGGGATGGTGACTGTCCAGCTGAGGTGGCAGATTAATTGGTGACAATGCCAGGATTTGTACTAGATCTCCTGATTACCAGACCCATACTGTCCTGTTCTGCCACTTACTAACAGGCCCGCTAAGAAATCACAGAAAGGGCTGATTTGGATGTGCTCTGCTCCTAAGCATGTCACATGTCTAGAGGGAGAGCATGGTAGAGGGGAAGGGGCAGTGAGTGGGGACTTAGCAGTCCTGGCTTCCACTCCTGGATCTGTCCCTGACCTGCTGGGTGACTGTATCAGTTTCCTGGGGTGGCCATAACAAATTTCCATAAACTGGGTGGTCTAAAACAACAGAAATTTATTTGCTCCTAGTTCTGGAGGCCAGGAAGACCAAAACTAAGGTGCTGGCAGGGTTGGTTCCCTCTGTAAGCTCCAAGGGGAATCTGTTACCGTGCCTTTCTTCTAGCTGCTGGTGGCTGCCAGCAATCCTTGGCGTGCCTTGTCTTGTAGACGCATCACTCCAATCTCTGCCTCCGTCTTCACGTGATCTTCCCCAAGTGGCAAAACTCCCTCTGCCTTTTTCTTATAAGGACACTTGTCATTGGATTTAGGGTTTACCCAGGTAGTCCAGGATAATCTCATCTCAAGATTCTTAAATTAATTACATCCACAAAGACCCTTTTTCCAAATAAGGTCACATTCACAGGTTCTAAGTGTTAGGGCCTGGACATATCTTTTTAGGGGCCACTTTTCAACTCACCACAAGGATCCTGGGTATGCCCTTCCGCTTTCTGCTCCTCAGCTTTCCTATGTGTAAACAGTGAAGATGGCAAGAGTCCACTGACTTGCTTCTATACGTGTTTGCTTGTCTTCATGGATACTGATGGACCCCAGAATACAGGCATCGACCCAGCAGCCTGTGCCATGCTGACATGGTCCCCAGCAGTCACATACCCCGCAAAATCAAATTCAAGAACTATTTCATGACTTTCTACAACTTCCTTTAGCCATACATTCTTTTTTTTTTTTTTTTTTTTTTTGCGGTACGTGGGCCTCTCACTGTTGTGGCCTCTCCCATTGCGGAGCACAGGCTCTGGACGCCCAGGCTCAGCGACCATGGCTCACGGGCCTAGGCGCTCCGCAGCATGTGGGATCTTCCCAGACCCGGGGCACGAACCCGTATCCCCTGCATCGGCAGGCGGACTCTCAACCACTGCGCCACCAGGGAAGCCCAGCCATACATTCTTGAAGATTGGTTGACGAAGTTAGCTTGTGGTCAGACCACAAATACGAATGCCTTATCAACTCTGGGCCCTACACCCTGGGGAGAGAGCACTCAACAAGAGGAAGTGCAGAGCATGGGCTGAGCATGGGAAGGGGCTTGATGAACACAACCTGTGCAGGGCAAGGACCAGGGGGAGGTGAGTGAGGCCCTCCCTTCAGGGGCAAAATGGAAGAAGGAGCCAAAACCCTCAGTAATCAAGATTAAAAAATCAAAACTAACGCAAAAAAAAAAAAAGAATCCACGATGAGCAAAATTTTAAATAAAAACAAGATGTGTTCTTGTAATTATGTGACTCAAATCAGTTCACCCTAATCTTGGTTTGTGGATCTTGTCTTTATTTAAAATTTTGATATTTTGTTCATCATGGATTTTTCCATTGAGGTCTTTGGCACCCCCTTAAATTTTGCCCTTAGTCCTGGCCCTGGAACTGTTAAGTTACAACTGGAGGGATGGGCCCTATAGGGACAAGGGATGGGGACCAGTGGGGAAAATTAGGGAACAAGTAGTGATTCCTGTGCTACTGGAAGGATCTGAGAGTCTGATGAGAGAGGCTGGTCTACATGACCTCTAGGAGAGTCCTAAACCCTCTGAGTCCAAGAGGCAAAGAGTTTCAGATTTCCCCGTGTAACTTCAATTATCTTTTGACCTCGAGATAATATAAGAAATGCTGCCTCTTGTCTCAAAGACTGTTGGACAGGGACTAGGTCGCCTGGAATTTCAGAAGCTGCCCCAAGCTGGGAGTCTGCCTGGCTCTGCTCTGATGGCACTGCTCCATCCTGGGAGGCCCAGGAGTGGGTGGCCCACACTGTGAGATGAAATGAACAGCCCCAGGAATAGCCCCAAGGTGTCCATTCATGGGCACAGTGATATGGGGGTGAGGTCAGCCTCCTCACCAGGCCCAAATTTAAAAATTTAAAATTAAAAAGGAAAGTCAGTGACCTGGGAGATATTATCAAGTCAAAACATTTACTCTGAAAAAACACTGCAAAAAATGATCTTCCCAAAATGCATTCCTGTGCACATGCTCACATCTGTGCATGGCTCGCCCACCCCGGGCAACATTCACGCTCCTTGGAACGACATTTGAGGCCCTTGGGGCGTCTCATGGCCCTTACCCCCACTTAGCTTCACAGATCTCATGTGTAATCATTTACATCTTTGGTCTTCCTTAAGTCTCTCATTTTAATTATTATACTGTCTGCCTGTACAGAATTTTAGTTTTTGTATTTTCCTCAAACTTTATACTATTTTTAAAGTTTAGGGTATCCCTGGACCCAAGTATCTTCTAATAAACTGTAAACTTCAACAACTTCAAAAATAATGCCTACTGAAATAAAAATGAGTTGTTTCTTCTCATTAGTCAGCATCTCCCAAAACTTCATATTGTCATTGATTTTGGTATGAAAATATTTCTTTCAACATTTTCTACCCAAAGTGTTTTTCCAGGATCTCTCAGGTGTCACGTGATCTACAGAGCTGCTTATAAAATGTGTCCTAATGATTTGCCCTTTTTGGACAAATCAATAAATCATTCTTGTAGTGTTGGCTCTGACTGAGATTAAATAATGGATAAAAATAATATATATATTTTTTACTTTACTATGAAGTTGATCCTTTAAATGAAGTTGAAGGTTGGCAGAGAATTTAAAAATCTGAGATCAGAGGAGACAGAAAAGAATCATGTGCTCTGCTGTACTGAACTTTGGCTGGTGGTTAGAATTGAGAGATGGATGTTGCCATCTTCACTGGGACTGTCACCACCTGATTCTTGATAATGCTTTCACTGATAGAGAATAGTGTACTTTGGAAATACTTTTACATGCACCATACTACCTGTTCTTTCACAGCCCTATGAGATAAGCAGGCCAGGGGTTAGTCATCCCTAGTGGGAACATCCCTAGTGGAGGCCTGAGGACCTAAGCACCCTGCCAAGGTCCTCCTCCTAGTTATGACAGCACAAGATGTCAGGTGCCATGCCAGCCACATTGCACAATCTGCCATTCAGCCCACCTTTTGACCCCGGAGGAAGATATTTTCACCACCACTCTACAGATGAAGAAACAGCGGCTCAGAGAACTCAAGCTCAAGGTCACACAGCTGGTAAGTGGCAAAACTGGGGTTTGGACCAATCTTTCTGGTCCTTAGTACATGTTTCCCCAAGTCTACTTGTGGGGTCGTTCGTCTCCTCCAGGCTGACAGGAGCATCAGTGAGACTGAGAAATGACATTCCAGGTCAGAGGGGCACAGGATGAAATGGTGGCCTCGTCTGAAAGTCAGTGTCTGCAGTTGGTCCCATACTAGTCACGACTCCACCCCTTACGCATACACTATGTTACGTGCTTACAAAGCACCCTTACCTCATTTGATTCCCACAATTCCCTAGAAGGCCATGCAGTAGCGAGCTGGATATCCTCATTTAACAGATAAGCGAGGCTCAGAGAGGTCACATGCTTTGCTCAAAATCACACAGCAAAGGCCAGAACAAGATCTAGGTGCTTTTTGCCAACATTATTGGACAGCATGATTACAGGAGATGGGCTTGGGGGCTGAAATGAGCTGGCCAAGGCACCAACCTTTCCTGAGATGGTCTTGATCTGCTTGGAGCTCAGAGGCTCGAAGTCCACGCCGATGTAGCCCTCCATGGCAGCAAGCAGATTCTTCCGGAGACAACGGGATGAGTTGGCTTCTGTGTGCACCTGCTCCCACCAGGAAGGCTCATACCAGCCCGGGATGATCCATTGGTATTTGCTACCGTACATATTCTCCTCATATGCCTGCAACAGATGGGTTGACCATGAAGGCACCAAGAGACAAACATTTGTTCAAAGCTTTGTACCCTGTGGGAAAGGTGGAGGGGACTCAGGGTTCCTCGTACTAGAGGATTTGTTAATTTTTCTATTACTTGCTTGGTCTCCTCCTCATTATCTCTCAAGCGATATAAGGTAGTTTATAGGAAACATGTATATTAAAATAATAAAACACTGAATAAAATAAAAACATAAGTGTCTGGGAAAATGTAGATTATAATATGCTTATTGGAGGTAAAGGGAACAGAACGTAGACAAGTCCACCAAAGGTTCCAACACTATAGATATAAGCTACATATTTCACCACAAACTTCCTGGCAGCCCAAGAGAAAAGGGCAACAATATTAATTGCATAGCTCTTATTTTCAGTAAGGAGAAAACATACTAGTTCTTCAGGGACACAAAATGTTTTCTAGGCTTTAATCCCTAAACAAAATGCCTCATATGGAGGTCACTGTCAAATTAGCTAGCATGGTATCAACACCACCCCTACAACAAACAGATTTCATAAGGCTATTTTTGTATAGATCTTTACTAAAAGCTGAGATCATAACCTTAAAATATAATCCAGGGCGGAGCAATTTTGCAAGGGGCCAAGAAAATTTAATGTAAGCATACAACTTATATAAGATGTCACTTGGCAAACTGAACATCTCTCTAAATCTTTACCCAAAGCATGGTGTACATAAATCCAGATCCTAAAAAAAAGTCCCTTATATTTATATACTTTACACGCATCTTATTTGTCATTCATGTCCACCCTTTGAGATGGTCTAGGCAGAGTTTATTATCCTCATTTTAGAGATGAGGAAACTGGAAACCAGAGAGGGAAAGTCACTTTTCCAAGGTCCACAGTCTGGAACCTAGGTCTGCCTACTCTTACGCTGCAAAGCCACACTGCCTGCCTCCCATTTAAACAAAAAGTTGTCAGACTGTTCTAATATACCCCCATTTGGCTTTAATTCTTACTGTGATGATTTTTTTATCTGGAAAAGCATGCTTTTTGATAGCTTAGATGCACCCAGAAAATCCCAATTTGTAGGTATGTCACATTCCATCAGAGTTGGGTCCAGAATGGAGTAGAGCTCACATTCCTATCAGTAATCAAAACACCCAGAAGTGACTACAGAGAGCAGGGGTGTATGTAAATGCTCTCTGCGCACTGTGATGAACTGTATACATTAAAAAATGTGAACCTTAAACGATCCAGCAATTTGTTCCTAGGGAGCCACCTATGTTAGGAGGACACGTTGGGCAACAATTCATGTCACACCCCTTTATGTTCTTTGGCTTAGAACAGAGACAGCACAGAGGCCAGGAGGGTGTGGAGAAAGAAGCCTGCAACATTGCTCTGGATGCCAGGGACATTTTGGCTGCCCTCCACTTAGGCTCCAGCATGCTAATCGACGGTCTGCCCAGAAAGGGTGGGCCAGAGCCCTTTATATTTGTGTATATTAGAGAATAGTTACTGTTGAGTCTAAGAGTTAGAGGTGTGTTCCCTTCATTCTTACATCTGAGGAGGCAACTCTTCTAAGACTCAACACCTGAAAAAGCCCAGCCTGCAGTGTGGAGCATCTCACTGGGGTAAGTGTGAATTAGAATATTTGTTCCTTAGCTTAAGCTCAGATTCCATCTCTATGGCCTCTGTCCATTGATTCAGTGAAGCCACCGGAGATTAAACTGAAATTGTTTCATAAGACAGCCCTTCAACTATCTCAAGGTAATGATCACATCGCCTCTTCTCTAGACTCCTCTAATGATATGGAACTTTCACCTCCCTCATTCTAGACACTGTATTTCTCATAATGCAGCCTCAGATCATAGTCATTTTTTCCAGCAACTACACTGTAATGTTGCCCCAATCAAAACTGTTGTAGAAAAAACACAGAGAGCCCTAATATTACAATTACATAACAAAACCCCAGTTCAACAAAACTGGCTGGGGGCTAGACCTTTGAACAAAAGGGTCATCCCAATGACCCCAGGTCATTTAATCAATGGCAGAACCTGTGAGACTTCACGACTCTCATCTTTCACTGGCAGGGAGGAACTCACATATATTGAGCCCCTATTATGTGCTAGGCCATTTATATACATTATCTTATTTTATTCTCACAACAACCCTATGAGTTATGTGCTATTATCTCTATCTTATAGATGAAGACATTGAGGCGCAGAGATTGAGAAATTTGCTCAAACACATTCAGCTAAGTCAAGAGGACAAGATTCAAAGTCTGTTTTTTTAAGTTTCTCTCTTTTCTTAGCAAAACAAACAAAGTAAAACTTTCTGGAAGCTTTCTCAGTCTTAAAAGGTTGAGGCAAGATAGCGCCACTTATTACGAATGTATGGTAAGTAAGCGTCAACAGATACGTAGTGAGGACATGAGGAGGTCTTCTGATCAGATGCAAAGGCAGATTTGAATTATTCTCTGAGACCAAAGACTGTGATAATTTAGAGGCAGCATGGAGCAGGAAGTCAGGAGCCTCCCAGGGATCTGCTGTGATAGCTGTCTGACCTGCCATTGTTCTGTTAGGTGTTCCTTGTGAGTGAATTTTCCAGAAAACAGAAGTTCAGTCCATTTGAATGACAACACGTTTTGTTTACAATATTAGTCAATTTTGATGAAGATAAAATTTTTTCTACTGATCTTTTGAAAAAAAAAAGAAAAAAGACTATAGTCAAGTGGCACTAGATTCTCTGCCACATACCAGCTGGGTAACTCTGGCACACAACTCCTTGGACCTTGCTTTTCTCATCTATAGCCTGTGGAAAGCAAAGCCCATCTCACTGGGTTGGTGTAGGAATTAAATGAGGTAATATATGAACAAAAAAACAACCTAATCAAAAAATGGGCAGAAGATCTAAATAGACATTTCTGCAAAGAAGACATACAGCTGGCCAACAGACACATGAAAAGATGCTCAACATCGCTAATTATTAGAGAAATGAAAATCAAAATTACAGTGAGATATCACCTCACACTGGTTAGAATGGTCATCATTAAAAAGTCTAGAAATAGGGCTTCCCTGGTGGCGCAGTGGTTGAGAGTCCACCTGCCGATGCAGGGGACGCGGGTTCATGCCCCGGTCTGGGAAGATCCCACATGCCACGGAGCAGCTGGGCCCGTGAGCCACGGCCGCTGAGCCTGCGCGTCTGGAGCCTGTGCTCCACAATGGGAGAGGCCACAACAGTGAGAGGCCCACGTACCGCAAAAAAAAAAAAAAAAAAAAAGTCTAGAAATAATAAATGCTGGAGAGGGTGTGGAGAAAATGGAACCCTCCTACACTGTTGGTGGGAATGTAAATTGGTGCAGCCACTATGGAAAACAGTATGGAGGTTCCTTAAGAAACTAAAAATAGAGTTGCCATATGATCCTGCAATCCCACTCCTGGGCATATATCTGGAGAAAAATCTAATTCGAAAAGATACATGCATCCCTATGTTCACAGCAGCACTATTTACAATAGCCAAGACATGGAAGCAACCTAAATGTCCATCGATAGATGAATGGATAAAGAAGAAGTGATACATATATACAGTGGAATACTGCTCAGCCATAAAAAAGAATGAAATAATGCCATTTGCAGCAACATGGATGGACCTAGAGATTATCATACTAAGTGAAATAAGTCAGACAAAGACAAATACTATGATATCATTTATATGTGGAATCTGAAACATGACACAAATGAACTTATTTACAAAACAGAAACAGACTCACAGACATAGAAAATAAACTTATGGTGTCCAAAGGGGAAAGGGGGGGAGGGATAAATTAGGAGTTTGGGATTAGAAGATATCAATTACTATATATAAAATAGATAAACAACAAGATCCTACTGTATGGCACAGGGAACTATATTCAATATCCTGTAATAAACCACAATGGAAAAGAATATGAAAAAGAATATATATCTGAATCACTTTTCTGTACACCAGAAAGTAACACAACTTTGTAAATCAACTATACTTCAATAAAAAAGAAATAATAAATGAGGTAATATGTGTACCATGCCTGGCCAACACTACGTGCGGGAACACTGTGGCTGCTCCTTCTCATGCCACTCTCTTTTCCAGAACTCATGGCTTTATTCTGAAAATTAATCACTCCTATGGGCCATGCACAGTGATACTTTTGGGCATGGCCCAAACACCAAATGGCCCCAGACTATTGTTCTTGGAGATTCTGATCTACTTTTTTTTTTTTTTTTTTTTGGTACGCGGGCCTCTCACTGCTGTGGCCTCTCCCGTTGCAGAGCACAGGCTCCGGACGCACAGGCTCAGTGGCCATGGCTCACGGGCCCAGCCGCTCCGCGGCATGTGGGATCTTCCCGGACGGGGGCATGAACCCGTGTCCCCTGCATCGGCAGGCGGACTCTCAACCACTGCGCCACCAGGGAAGCCCTCTGATCTACTTTTGATGGCTTTGTCTCCTTTCTAGTTGTCAGGTCTAGGCTGTCACTTTCACTGTCATGAAATCCCTCTCCTTACTCTGAATTTGCTGCTTTTAAACTGCTATGGAAAGCAGGGAGTGTTAAACATACGTGCCGAAAAAAGTACACAGCACAGGCTTTGAGTGAGGGTCTAAAAGGCTCTCCTACAAGGGAGGTAGACTGGGCTTAAATATAGCATACAGTTTCTAAAGCAACTGCAGAGAGGCCTCTGGGCCTCCATTCTGGTATTCCCACGTTCAGAAGGGCTGAGATTGTTGGACATGTGAGCCTTAAGAAGCTGCTGGTATCTTTGTCTGTCTCCTTTGCCAAATAGGGAGTTCCTGGAGGGTGGTGTCTGCTCTTTCCAGGATCCCCAGTGCTTAGCACAGTGCCTGGTGTAAGAGGGCACCCAATAAATGGTTGTAGAGTGACTGACTGAACACATTTTCAGTTTACTTGGTCACCTTGGTTTTCATTGTTTTTGTCTCTAGTAGGAATGTGGTCTCAGGACCTGTGGCCACCAAATGGGCCCTACCAGGTGATGATGGGCAGTCTTGAGCTCATGTTCTTCAGTCCCATGAACGACTTTGTTCTCATTAGCTGCAGACAGGTAGCCATGATGTAATTTAAAAATCCAATTTCCTCTTTTTATTGTTTCCTTTTGCCTCCTCACTTCCTCAGGCAAGAAGGATATTTCCCTTTTATAGGCATTTCATAACCATAATAGTAATAAATCCTCACATCAGTAAAGCAGTTAACAGTTGGGATCACAGTCACCCTTCGGTGGCCCTGTTTAAGCCTCTCGACAATCCTATGAGGCCAATAAGACAGGGGTTGTCGCTTCCATTTTAGAGGTGAGGCAGCCGGGGGCTGGAGTTGTAAAGTGGCCTGCTTGAGGTCACACAGCTGGCAGAACTAAAACCAGAACCCAGGTCAGAGTGCTTGAGAATTTAGAATAGACCACCAAGGAGGGAGGAGAAGACAAAAGCGACAGGCCACGCTCGTCCTTTGCTGGAACTGAAATGAACATTTTGCCACAGGGCTATAAATAGTCCTTGCATTTGCTAGAGACTACTCTCCCCTTGGGTGGCAGGTCCAATCTCAAGAACATGCAGGGGCTTCCCTGGTGGCGCAGTGGCTGAGAGTCTGCCTGCCGATGCAGGGGACAGGGGTTCGTGCCCCCGTCCGGGAAGATCCCACATGCCGCGGAGCGGCTGGGCCCGTGAGCCATGGCCGCTGAGCCTGCGCGTCCAGAGCCTGTGCTCCGCAACGGGAGAGGCCACAACAGTGAGAGGCCCACGTACTGCGAAAAAACCAAAACCAAAACCAAAACCAAAAAGAACATGCAGCAACACGCTGCAAAGTTTGCACTGCAGCATTTGGATGGCAAAGATGCGGTTGTCTCCATCCCATTGTGCTCTGACCCTGACATGGGTGGAGAGGTTCTCTCCCAGGGTCTCTGCTCCGAGCAGCCCCTCCCTCCATCACACACCAGAGTTTTGATTCAGTGTGAGGACACTGAGAAGACTCTCCTCAGGACCTTCCAGGCCTGCCAGAAGAACTCCTTCCTAACCAGATAAGACTGACAGTCCTGACAGGCAGATCCATCTGATGGTCTGACACACGGAATAAACCCCCAACCAAAAACTTCTGAGAAACCACTCAGTGAATAAAGCAGCCAGCAAAGACTCTAAGAAAAAGTCCATCTGAAGATACCCAAAGTCCAAGAGGAAGAAGAAAGTGGGATGAAGAGGTGGGATGATGTCCCGTGCTGTGTAGAAGGCAAGCAGCCTGGGGCTTTGGGTCAAGAGGAAGACAGCCATGCCGTCTGTTCTGAAATAGAAACCATGCTGCTGGAAATGCCACTCAGAAAATAACCACAGTGCACAGCATGGAGGGAAATCACAGCCACGCCTCAGCTTAGGGTTTGGCTCAAATCAGAACAGGAGGGGACTTCCCTGGTGGTCCAGTGGGTAAGACTCTGTGCTCCCAATGCAGGGGGCCCAGGTTTGACTGCTGGTTGGGGAACTAGATCCCGGATGCATGCCGCACCTAAGAAGTCCACATGCCACAACTAAGAGCCTGCATGCGGCAACTAAAAGAAGATCCCTCCTGCTGCAACTAAAAGATCCTGCGTGCTGCAACTAAGACCCAGTGAAGCCAAGATAAATAAAGAAATAAATACTAAAAACAAATGAAAAAAATAGGAGGTCTGTCTGCATTTTGTGCAAACAGGAGATGGCCAGTGCTCAGTGTGGCAACTTCACAGATCATTTTTATTAATTTACTTTTCCTCAATTGATCGACAATCATCCACCATGTGCCAGCTATTTGCAAGGTCTTGGGGATATGTAGGGGGCTTCCCTGGTGGCGCAGTGGTTGAGAATCTGCCTGCTAATGCAGGGGACACAGGTTCGAGCCCTGGTCTGGGAGGATCCCACATGCCGCGGAGCAACTAGGCCTGTGAGCCACAACTACTGAGCCTGCGCGTCTGGAGCCTGTGCTCTGCAACAAGAGAGGCCGCAATAGTGAGAGGCCCGCACACCACGATGAAGAGTGGCCCTGGCTTGCCACAACTAGAGAAAGCCCTCGCACAGAAACGAAGACCCAACACAGCCAAAAATCAATAAATAAACAAATTTGGGTTTTTTTAAAAAAAAAAAAAAAAACCAAAAAACCCAGCTTCTTCTCTAAAAAGTTATGTCTTCTAATTGGAGCATTATTTTCCTTTTCTAAATGGGCCATTTCTGGACCTTAGATGGTAACATGCAAAGTATTATGACTTTTGAAATAAAATGTATTAAATCAATTTGCTCCATTTTTTTTCAATTTTTCTCATGTTCCTCCTTAGATTTTCATATGGAAATACTCCTTAATTACCCTTAACTGAGACACAGGATGCTTAACACAATTTAGGAAAGTCCATCAGTTAGTAAATTCGTCAGCCCAATGGTGGTCCATTCCATCCTCAGAGACCTTACATAAACAAATAAAAAAAGGTTGCTGACATTTGCTGAGGGCTCACTGTACGTCAGCCACTATGCAAGGTGTTTTTGCTCATTTAAGCTCCACAACAATCCTATGAGACAGGTGTTATTATTATCCTCACTTTACAGATGAGAAAACTGAGGTTCAGAAAGTGTCAACAAGCCCAAATTCAGTTACTAAGCTGCAGACCAGTAGTTCAAGCCCAAGCAGACTGACTCCTGAGCACTAAGCTTCACGCAGCGTCCCCTGAAATGTCAGCCTATAGCTTCTCCTTCCTCCCTGCTATTTTGAAAGGTGATCAGGCGGTTCCCACTTTGCTCCTGGGCCTTCATGAGGAAATATCCCTGGGTGACTATGGTTTCCGGTCGCTGCTCTCTCCTTACTCCTGGGCTCTTTTCAGTTTCTGCATCTCTCCTGAAATGGGGCACCAGGAGCTGAGCAGGATACCCCAGGTGGGGTCTCTCCAGCAGAGAGCAGAGGGACGACCCGCCCTAGTTGTGGACGTGCAGCCTGAGGTCACCTCGGCTCCCTGGAAGCTGTGCTCACACTGGTTACTCACGGTAACCTTGAGGTCAACTGAGACTCCAAAGTCTCTTTTGTTCTAAACGCACAGTACTCCTCAGCTATACCTCTATCATCTTGGACATAGGCAGCCCAATTTGTTCTAATATAACCTTATATTGGGACTATTAGATTTAGTCTTCCTGGATTCAATTAAACATTCCAGCTTGTTAAGGTTCTTTACACCCTGGCTATCTTCCAACATATTTCACAACTTCTAAAATTCCCATACGCCTATTTTTATAATCTCATCCAAGTTACTGAAAAAAGGTCAAAGAAAACAGAGGCCTGTGGCCCATCACTAGAGACCGCACCTAGAATAACCTCAGTCTAAGAGGAGGAGCTTATTGGGTAGACAATTCATGTAACTAGGCTCTCATTCTGTTGATTTCTCTCCTGACCCTGAGGTGGAGGAGGGTGAGCCAGGGCATCAGAATGGAAAGACATAGTCCCTGTGTTAGAACTCTTACATATGCTCAGGTTAGAATATCATGTGGAGAGGGCTTCCCTGGTGGCGCAGTGGTTGAGAGTCCACCTGCTGATGCAGCGGACACGGGTTCGTGCCCCGGTCCGGGAAGATCCCACATGCCGCGGAGTGGCTAGGCCTGTGAGCCATGGCCACTGAGCCTGCGCGTCCGGAGCCTGTGCTCTGCAATGGGAGAGGCCACAACAGTGAGAGGCCCACGTACCACAAAAAAAAAAAAAAAAAAGAATATCATGTGGAGAAAAGAGGATTTGACTGGGAATCAGGTGAATGGGGATGGAGCCCGGTTCTGCCATAAAACAACCCTTGGACAAGCTTCTCCACCTCTCTAGGCTTCTAGCTCCTTATCTGTAACAAGGGTACAATGGTAGGGTACAATAAAGCAAGGGTAACAATAGTAGCTTCACATGGTTATTGGAAAGATTAAGTGAGATAAGGTTTAAGAATATACTTTGTCACCTGTCACACACCAGACAATTAAAAGGATTCAGTGGTAGATACTGAACAGTTGACGGTCTGTGCCAAACCTGAGTCTCTGAGCCCTGCTTACAGGGCAGGAAGGGGTCTGAGGCCTCCCGGTCTCGCCCTGGAATCTGGTGTCTCCCTCTGTGTGGTGCACACAGCACTGCTCCATTAAGCAAGGCTGGGTGGAGGAGACTTAAAACTAGCTGGCAGCGCTGAAGCAATGGTAAGACAGTGGGTTTGGTAAACTGAGGTTCCTGGTTCCTCCAACAACTGCACTGTTCTGAGTCCTGGGGTTTTAGCTCCACGGAAAGATGAAAGAGCAGTGAGAATAACACTTCTGCTTCCAACACCCCAGACTCCGGTCCACTCAAGGACCAGGCAGTGACACTGAGTGCAAGAAAACGCTTCATGAACCTCCCCAAAGACATCCATGACACAACCAAAGTGTTACTTACACAACAGAACACTTTTGCTGCCATATTCTGGTCAAACTGGCCAAGGATGATCCGCACGTCGTTGCCCTGTGGACAGAAGGACACGATGTGAAGGTGAGCGTGTGATCGGCACAGCCCAGAGGGCTCGAGGCAGCGGGCAGGGATCATTCACATGCCCCAGGCTCCCCAGCAAGAGCTCTGCCTGAGGGGGTGGGCAGGGCAAAACCTCACCCCCCAGCCCAGCCGAGCCTGGATCTATGGCTCTCTCTGGGCCCAGCTTTCCCTCAGCTACTGCTGTTGGCCCTGCGTGGTCTCGTGGGTAAACCCTGGGGCTGGAGGCTAAAGGCTCTGAGGAGCCTCATTGTCTCCCCTGCTCTCCTCCAACAAGGGCAGGCAAACGCTCCGGGGCACTGAGACAGCGTCTGCTCTCCGTCCTCACTCTACACATAGGGAAACTGAGGCCAGAGGAGAGAAAGTAACTTCTAAGGTCCCCAGGGGAGTTGGCAGCGGAAACAGGTTCCCAGCCAACACCCCCTCCCCCTCTAGTATTCTAGACTTTTCCACCTTTCTCGAGTCCACAGAGCTTCCCAATTAAGAAGTTTCAGAGTCTCTTTGAGTTCTCAGCTTTGTTCAAATCTCAGCTCCACTTGGGTGGCCTCAAGTGGCTCCTTTTCCCATCTTAGCCTCAATTTCCTCATCTGCAAAATGCAGATAATGGCAGTACTTAGAGGGCTGCTGAGAGGACTAAATGAGATAATCCTCATAGAGTACTTAACATAGTTCCTGGCACAGAGTAAACACCCAGCTAGAATTAGTGTCTTATAACCTTCTCCCAACCTATTCTTCTCCCTTTATTTCAAAGGAAAATCTATATTCAAAAGCTCTATAAATGGTTACTTATTATCTTAATATCTCAATATGGTTAATAGGTATATATTGTACCATGGGTCCTATCACTCATTTATTCATTCAACAAACATTTACTGAGTGTCTGCTTGAGGCTCCCTCCTGGGTCAGGGTAAGGGGTTCTCGGTTGCTTTCTAGGGGAAGGGACCCTGCCCTGCCCCCATATAGAACAGGCAGAAGGAGGATGTACAGGTAGCCTCCAGGAAACCAGCCAGGCCCCGGCCCACACGCTTGCTCCATCCCAGTCCTGCCCTCCGCACTGACACTCAGCCCTGCAGGTGATGTTACCTTGCTGCCATTTACCCCGTCCTTTCCAGCAAGCCTCAAGGCTCTTTGATGCATAAAGAAGAGAAACATCCCTTTAAAGATCAGTTTTTAGCATCTTTCAAAATTGGAAAGTGCTGACTGGGAGGCCATTTTACTCATCATGTACTTTAGCAAAATAAAAAAGACTTGGATTCTAAAATCACCCTTCGTTTGCAAGCAAGAATGGAAAGAAGAAAAAAAATTTTCCTCTGAAAGGACTTTAAAAGATCATTAACAGAGCAGTTGAAGGAAGGCAAGCCTTTGTCATCACCATGGCTGCAATGCTATAGAAAGTTCTAAGCTGCTTCTGTTCTGTGGCCATACTCCCGGGCACACTCCAGGGTCTTTCTGCTTGTTTGTTGAATTTTTTATAGCATTTCTTGCTGCTAACAGTATTCACCTACCCATATCCATCCATCCATCCATCCATCCATCCATCCATCCATCCATCCATCCAGCAAACATTTATGGAGCATCTACTTTGTGCCAAGCCCTGTGTTGCTAAACACGGTATAGTAGAAACAGCTTATTGGATTTTGGAGTCAGAGAGACCTGGGTTCACATCCCAGCTCCGGCACTGACCAGCTACATGACCCTGGGTCTTAATGTCCTGGAGCCTCAATCTCCTCATCTCTGAAATGGGGATAATATTCCCTGCCTGACCCAGTGGTTGTAGGATTCATGGTAATGAAACCCACCCACTGGCTTCCATGGTGCTCTCTCCTGGTTCCCTCCTGCCTCCTGGTCATTCCTGCTCAGACTCTCAATCAGCTCCTCGTCTTTCTGCCCATCCCTAATGCTGGTGTTCCATACAGTTCTGCCCTCATCACTCTCCCTGGGCAATCTCATTCATGACCCCAGCCACAACTCCCCTCTGAGCATTGTGGACTCCCAAGTCTCTCTCCCCAGCCCAGACTTTTCTCCAGTTGCCCCCTGGACACCTCCACTTGGATTCTCTCAACATGCCCCAAGTTGAACTCCTCATCATTCCCAACATGCCTACTTCCTCCTCCTGTATTGTCCATCTCTAGAACAGAGTTGTCAACCTCCTACTCCCTAAGATCATAAACTTGGGAGCCATTCTAGATTCACTCCTCTCCTCATCTTAGCCATAACCATGGCCTGTTGGTTCTGTCTGCTCACTAGCTTCCTGAATCGCCCCCATGTCTCCAGCCCCATTGCCCTGGGTTTAGCCACCATCACTCCCTACGTGGTGAACCACTACAGCCTCCCAACTGGATCCCTGCCTTTAGTCCTGCTCCATCCACCCAGTCTCCAGAAAGCACACAAGAGGATCATTCCAAGATTGAAATTTGATTATGTAAAATCTTTCCATGGCTCCTGGAGCTTTACAGATCAAACTCTGAGCTCCTTGGAACATTCCAAATTTTTTACCAACTCACTCCTGCTCATTTCTCTAATCACATTTTTTGCTACTCCTCCACAGCAGGGAGAATGAACTACCTGCAGTTCTCTTAAATGGTCTGCCATTCACTCCTTCATTCATTCACTCATTCATTCATTCACTTTCTTTCACTCTGTCCCCTTTCTTTCTTTCTACAAGTTCATTCATCCAGAATGCCATTCCCTCCCACCCTACACGCTGTGCCTGGAGAGCTGCTACTCCCCCTTCCTGCCTTAGCTCAGGCATTCCTACTCTGAGAAACCATCTCTGTCCCATTAGGCTTGGTGGTCATTTGCTCCTCTGTGGGCCCAGAGCACTCTGTGCTTCCCTCTATCATGGCCTGAGTCTACTTGTTTGTTTTCCCCATTGGACTGAGGATAACTTGATCCATCTCTGGGTCTCCAGCTCCCAGAACAAGGCATGACACATATATCAATAAATAGGTATTAAATGTGTGATTAAGTGAATGAATGCTGTGTGAAGCACAAGCACAATGCCTGGCCCACATTGGCTATTCAATATCTGCTGGTTATTATCATCAACTGCACTAATATCCTGCTAGCCTAGGGCCTAGGTACTGGTTGGGTTCACCATGTTCATTTCTTGAATGGACCGAGGGACTCGCATCTTCATGGTTGACCACCTGACCACCTGCTAACAGATAAATAAACAGCTCTGCCACTTGTGGACCATTTAGTGTCTCTGTTGCCATGACAACCAAGTTGCATTGACTACTTGGTTCTATGCTCCCAAACTTTTAGGACTGGATGGGGGCCCAAGGGATCGCTGATCTTGTTAACCCCTTCCCAGAGAGGCAAAAATCTTTCCCAAATCCAGCACAGCACCCCAAAACCAGCAATCTTGCCTTGGTGTCCCCTGACCATTAGAGGGTCCTGGAGAAAGAGCCTATCCGGGGCCAGGTTATGCCTGATGCAGGAAGCTATTCACACCCACTCTGACTCTAGACAGTGAGTAAGAAGGGCAAGATGCTGCAAAGCCTGGGAGAAAAGAGGACGAGCCAGCACTCAGTGCAGGTGGAGCCTGGATCCCAGGGTAGGGAGAGGATAATGGGAAATATGACTGGACTGGGATCCTTAGGGGGCCCATGAGAGCAGCATAAAGAGTTGAAGGTGCTTCTCAAAATGGGATATGTGTACTCCCAGGGCAGAGGAGTTCTCCTGAGAGTATGAAAAGTGCGGATATGCCTGGTTCTTCTTTCTGGAGTAGCAATTTATTGGAAGATTCAGGGGTGAAGGGAAACATTTTGGATCGGGGGAATCTTAAAAGTTTTTAACACACCCACACTCTCACAAAAGTTCCAGAATCACACTTTTCAATGTTGCATAACTTGTATGTTTTCCTTAAAATCCAGAGAGAGGAAAGAGATTTTGTGTTGGCAGTGGACCCTGCTTCTGGCCAAGCCCGCCCACCTCCCTACCAGGGGTATCAGTGCACTCTCCTCTATGGCTGAAAGGGCTTTGGGGCAGTTGAAGGACTGCCAGGGGTAGGGGAGGACAGCCATGACCATCTCTAAGGATGACAGTGCAGAATGGTGCTGTGATGTTAGAGCTGGAACGTGGCAGAGGGCAGGGTCTCAAAAAGCCCTGCCATGGACTCTTGGCTCCGCAGGGGGCCGCCTGGAGTGAAAGTAGATGTCCCGAGATCAGACAAATGACAGCTTCTTCTTAGAGGGCTAGATCTAAGGTAATGGATGGTAGCAGAGACCTATGTTCACACCCTCAACAGGCCACACCCATGGGGGGCAAAAATGGAAGGGAACAGCCATGGGGCAGGAGGCCTGGGGAGGGGTACTCAGTCCAAACCCTGGGTGGATTTCCCTTCCTCTTCCCTGGCCCCTCTCATCTGTTGTCTAGGACCTCTTTGTCTCTGGGGCCCTTAAAGGGAGCTAAAATCTCACATATAAAAAATGACACTTAAGAAGGATGACTCAATTCAAAGCACTACTGTATAAACCCCCACTTTACACGGGATCCTAGCAGAGTCAAAATAAATGACAGCTCCCGAGCTCTTTCTAGCCACTGCCCTAGGAGGTACGTGCTATAATTATGCTCACTCTGGATAGTTTCATGAGCAAACTGAGGCCCAAAGACTTAAGCAACTTTCCTAGGCACAGCAGACACTGTTGGTCCTGCTAGATCCCCTCCTCGGGGCTAGTGCACCCAACCCAGCTGCAGCGATGGTGGGCTGCCACCAGCTCCCTCCCTTCTCTGGAGAACTTCCCTCAGCCAAGGGGAGCTTCCTGGCCCTAGAAGGCCATGTTGTGCCCCACATCCCATAGCAGCCAGTGACTGACTCACATGGGTAGAAAACTCCAGCCCCCTTGCTGAAAGGTGGGACCAGCTCTGTGGTGCAGACTGTGCTCCAGAGATGCGATGAGGCCAGGTTAAACCCATCTCCAGCCAAAAGGCATTCTGGCCTAGCTCCCCTCTTGCCTTATCCTGCTTCTCTC